GATGGGGCCTGGCGGGGGTCCCCTCATGGTCCCCTCCCCCTCCTCCAGCCCCGCTCCCCCACCTCTACTTACCCGCTCCGAGTCTAGCTCCAGCTCCCTGCTGCAGCGGGTGGGGACTGCCCAAATCATCAAAGCTCTCCGAATTTTTTCCGAAGATTCAGAAAGTTTTTAATCGATTTGGACCTTTTTATTGGTCCCCTGATTCGATTCGGATTTGGAGTTTTGGCCATCAAATCGGGCCGAATCTCCTCTGAATCAAATCAGCACCCAAAGCCTCACAAAGCCCTACTGTACAGGCAGGCACTAGGCAGTGTCGGCAGGAGCATATGGGGGAGCAGCCAGCTGGGGAATGATCGGGGAGCTGGGGAAATGATTGGGAGGTAGGAGCTTGAACGGGAACTGGGGAATCAGACCAGGAGCTGGTGGAACGAACAGGGATTTCCCCCCAGCTTCCGGTTCAATCTCTCAGCTCCCAATCATTCCCCCAGCTCCCCGATCATTCCCCCTGGCTCTTGAGGCGTCTCCTGGGGCTGCCAGCGCTGCCTGCCTCTCCCTGGAGTGGGGGCAGCTGGGGGAGCAGCCGGACGAGACCTGGGAGAACCTGCAAGGGTTGGGGGGAATGATCGGGGACTGGGGGAACAAATCATTCCCCCAGCTGCCCCATACCCCTGATCATCTATGTTGCCTTTCTGTACCTTTTCTAATTTCACTGCATCCTTTTTGGGTTGTGGAGACCAGAACTGTACACACAGAAAAGAGTCTCAGGAGAGTTGCACGGTGTGTACATTTCATTGGCTGGAAAAGGTGTATGTATGGATGAACATTAATAGCAAGTGTTCTTGTGTGATATTGTATAGTTTTAAGAGGAAACCTGTATAGTTTTAAAGTAGTAGGAAGCTAAATGTCAAAATGGGAGACCTTGGAGGTAGGAACTATTCTGAGAATCTATATATAATCTGAGAGACAAACCTGTTTTTTTTCTCTGATCTACATGGTGCAACTTCATTAATTCCTATTAATGTAGGGGTTACTTCTGTGATCTTTTCTCATATGAATAAGAACTGCAGAGCTCTGTCTGTTATGTTGCTATATTTTCCCTCCCCTATTTGTATGCAGTAATGGCTGGAGCACAGAGCTGACCCTGGGGATTAATAACTGACTGGGAGAGCTGATTGCTGAGGACACTAACCCTGAGGCTGTCATTAAGGCCCCAGAAAATGCTCCATTCACATTACACATTAGGTGGTATTATAATGCACGACTGACTTTAAATGCCCAAGACATGTAATTATCCCTTAGAAATGCACCACAGAGTGTTTCTTATTGTTGCAAAATAGAATTTTCAAATTAAAAATAAGAAAGATGGTTAGACTTGTGCATTTATTATTCCTTATGAACATGGCTGTGATCTAGGCATGTGGTGAGTAGTACATGTGTACCTCTTGTTCTAAAGCCATTTTATAATGGCAAATGTAACTTTTTAGAATCACATTTTCCTGTTTTCCTTTTGGTACCTCCTGAAATATTGTTTACTGTGGTTCAGGGGGAAAAAACCTCTCAATGCAAGGTCAGTAGTCAATAAGATTTAACACACATCATCTGATCTCTAAGTAGTTCCTAGACCCATTGCTGAAAGATAGTTTGATGATACTGCTAATCAAGTGCTAGATCAGTAGGCAGCTCTATGCCTCAGATACTGGAGGTGAGATTTTTTTTTAAGAGCTCACAGTTGTCATAACTTTGCACCTAGTGAAGATGGGAGCTTTTCAGTCATGAACAGCTGTTAAGTGCCACCTATCACTGAGAGGCAAACCTAACTTTCCAGCTGTATCTTAGAAAACCTTCCAAGACTTCAGAGGTGGCAGAGTAAGGCCAGCACAATGCACTCTCAAAAATCCCATCCAGAATGGTCAAAATTGCACTCAGAAAAGCCATACTATTCCAAATTGACCTAGTGAGAGAAGTCCTGTAAAATAGCTGGTGTTATCTTAGTGCACCTTCTTGATTTTTGAGCTCAGTAACAAGATGTAATCTGTGGTCTGCCAAACATCAGATGTTTCCAGGGGTATTCATCCCCACGCAACAGAGTTGCAGGTGTGCTGAGGCAAACCAAATTGACAATATGCTAGTGCAGGGTGTGTTTCAGGCCTTGCAGACTAAGTGAATGAATACATCCCGATAAACACTTGTATCCTCAGCTCAAAAGAAAGGATTCTTTGCTAGGCTGGTAACAATAGGAGGGTGCTATAAACTGTGGCTTAAATACAGTCCAAGATGAAGATAATAATTCACAATTTAGCCCCTGTGGGTAGGGTCTAGTACAAGGTAGAAAACAAATCCTATTGCGGGGTGTGATTCTGGACAAATATTTGGAATTTCCTTTTCAGGCCATTCCTGCAAGAAAAGGTTCTTAGCCAGAGCTCAGTTCATAGTCTGAAGTCTCACTGGTGCTTCTAGCCCTGCCATTCTTGTATAGCAGTTAACTCCTTCCTTCAGGCTTCTATGTGTGATAATAGGTGATAAGTCCACCTCTGTATAGCCTCTTATCTATACTCTAGAGTCTAGACTATCAAAACTGCCAGCACAGTTGTCACCCAAATTTCTGGCATACCTCTATGACTCATTATCCTGGGAGATTTCAAATTCCTGTATCAGCAACACTTTTGACAAATAAACTGCAGAGCTTCATTCCCTCTTAGATACCGTAGGATTTTTCTGATGATCTGCAGATTCCTCACACAGAAAGGCTTGAATTTGATTTGATCCTCAGTCTAGGTGTGGAGACAGGGATGGGTACAAGAACTGCCCTCACCTATCACTTTCTCCAGGAGAAGAAAGATATCTATTGAATTAGATGAGGGTGACCTTTTGGTGCATGGAGTAGCCTAAAGACTGGTCAGTGTGTTTCATGAATGCAAATCCATACTCACAGAGTGTATCTACATGTGCAATTAATGTGACACAATAAACTCTGCAGCAGTTCGAGTTGGAGTCAACTGCTCTCAGGCACAACATCTGCAGGTGTGCCTAGGACAGCATCTATTTGAGCCAGGGTAGAGAAGGCCCCTGGCTGGCTGGGCAGACTGGGCACAACTTACACCCCCAGTCACCATGTACACATGCATTTTGGTGCAGTAAAGTACTCTGCTGTAAGATAGTACTGTCCCTGACAGTACTATCCTACGGTGGAGTTAATTAGTTTACTGCGTCCTGATACTGGCGGTGCGTGTGTAGACAGCGACACATTACTGCAGAGCTGATTAGTCTGCTCTGCAGTAAAGTGCACATGTAGATGCACCCACACAAGCACAGGTATTACAGTGGACATCCAAGTGTTGTAACTTGCACTGGTATTATGGAATGAGGATCATGTTCTGGTTTCAGTTACAGCTATATCAATTTTCAGAAGCTCTCTTGATATGCAGATATGGTGGATTGACACTGGTGTCAGGGACAGTAGATCCTGCCCCTGAATGTGCAGGTGTTTGTATTGTCATGACCCAAAGGCATGATTTTGTGTGTGCTTCGGCACCAGAATTATCCCCGCCAAGTTGCAGCTTCATTGCACGGGAGAGTTTCCTGTTGCAGAGGAAAACCCCGGTGCAGGGACGAGTTTCCCGCCTTTTCTGCAGCTTCTTTTGCAGAGTTCATTGCTCGAGTTGCAAGAGGAATGCACGGTGCAAAACAGTTCCCGCCACCGGTATGTAAATTCATTCCCCGCTGTTGGCTAGTTTTAAATTATTCCCACGTGGCGGCTAGCGATTGGCATGTTAGCCGTATAAGAGGCTTTAGCAGTTTTCCCCCCAGCCCAAG